CCCATATTTGGGCTTTGCTTTGTGTGTTTATTTTGTGGAAACAGACATTACTTACAGCTGCAGTTCTATTGCTTGTTCTGAAATCCTTCTACCCTCTTTCATGTAAACCATTGTCCTATAGTTGCTATGTATTCCCCTCTCATCACAGTTTATATACTGAATTCTACACACTAGATAGCTATGGTTGTCAATGTGTAATATGTGAACTTTAAGTGCTATGATATTATATAAATCATTCTATAACTTTGTGTTCCTAAGTCAACTTTTCCCCTCCTTTTTCTGACACTTATCCCTGTTGAAACACAACATCAATTGTTTTCCTTCATGTCCACTTGCCCATTCATCTAATTTCCACTTGGTCCATTGCAAAAACTGTCACGGTGAGCGTTCTTACAGGCATCATGTAACTGCTCGGCTATTAATGGTTCTATAAAAGACATCTAGAAGTGACCCTTCTGAGCTTTGTTTATTCATCACTTTTTAAAACTACACCAAGCCAATTCCAATTCATGGTGCCTTCTGTCTACTAGAGTACAACCATGTTCCACAAGGATCTTCTTCTTGGGTGCCACAGGAGGGATGTAATCACTTTCGCATTAATAACTGAACACCTAATTCACTCACTTTTGCTATTGGTGAATTGCTCTGTAACGTCACAGTGCTAAGTCATGCACCCAGAAACAGTCTGTGAGCACATCACATATGAGTGGGTACTGAAAAAAAAAACCAAACTAAAACAGAATTGCACTGGGCTGAGTGAAGCTTTCATTGCATGCATTTTTTTCTGCTAGGCCAGCATCCAGCACCTCAATCTGAGTTGGTGCACTCAGTGGCATCACTTGGGAAGGTTCTGTATGGTCACAGTGAGTTTTTTAATAAAAGCAATTGTGCTTGAACCTCATTTTTTGTGATGGCCAATTTTAAAGAACAACATGTGGCTGCAAAATTTTGTTTCCTGCTCAGGAAAAATGCCACAGAAACTGTTGTGATGTTGAACACAACTTACCAAGGACAGTGCTATGGGAAAAACTCAAGTGTATGAGTGGTTTTCTCGTTTCAAAAAAGGTGAACTATTAATTGATGACAAGCCTCATTCTGGACATCTGTCAACTTCCCAAATGGATAAAAATGTTCAGCTATAATGCGTTTGAGTGCTTTCCACCAAGTCAGACTGACAATCGAGTTCTCTATTTAGAAGTTCTGGAAAGATTGTATAACAGTGTGGGACAAAAAAGGCCTGATTGGTGGCAGGTGGGGGACTGATTTTGCTGCCACGACAATGTATCTCCTCACGCAGCCATCTCAGTGCACAAGTTTGGGGCAGAAAACAGCATGCCTATCTTGCTCCACGCAACTTACCTGACCTTGCTCCATGGGACATCTTTTTGTTTCCACAAATAGAGACGGACATGAAAAGACAGCATTTTAATGACGCAAAGGAAAAATGAGGGAATGCTGTCAGCCAACCAAACATGAGTTTGAAAACATTTCCAAGAATGGAGTCACAGATTTAACAAATATAGTAAGTGTAATGGAGAGTACTTAGAAGGTGATAAGGTCTTTTTTTGAAAAAAAAAATTAATACAAATCTTTGAAAAAAAAAAATTTTTTTTAATTAGGTACCCCCTCATACATTGGTCATTTGGGTTTTCTCTTCAAATAATTTTACCAAGGAACTCTGATGATGTAGTGCCTTATTTATTGAGCTGCTAACCTGAAACTCTGAGCTGTCCTGAGGGAGAATCGAGTATAGCTACAATTCCAAAAACCCTAGAGAGCAGTTCTGCTCTGTCCTGTGGGGTAGATATGGTCACAATCAACTCAAGACTGTGGGCGGTGCCCTTGACCCACTTTTTCAGAGAATTGCCTCCTATATTGTTGACATTAATTTTTCTGCTATGTAAATGATTATCTTAAATTATCCTATGACATTTTCCTTTATGGAATGTTCTTTGGATATCTTGTTTCAAAATGTATGTTATCCTGAGGACACAATAGCTTTTATAATTTCTTTTAAAACTCTTAAGTTTTTCTTTTCATAATTTGTCCTTGAATTCATCCAGATTCAAATTTTCTATATGGAATGACGCAGGAATTAATTTGTTCCACATTTGTATAACTAATTGTCCAGGAAGCACATAGAGTTCTCAGTTCTTTGTTCAATAATTTGTACTGGCACGTCTCTCATATTCCATGTTGCCATATAAATGTGAGCCCATTTCTGGGCTCTCTATGCAGCTCCATTTGTCCAGTTGTCTATTCCTATTCCAATAGTATAACGGATTAATTACTGCAGCAGTTCAATAAGTCTTGCAACTTACCACAGTTTGGATCTCATATAGTTCTGCATTTTCCATTTTAAGTGAATAGGTGGCCTCAGAAAGTTTTGGGTTGAAAGGTGACAGAAGGGTTACATGATGATCAGCTAGCTCAAAAAACTAATCTTGCCACCAGTCTTTGAAGCAAGATTAAACTAATGAAGATGATTTTATAGAATGAATCATAACTGAGAACCAGTCTTAGTTATACCAATATGACCCAGTGAACACATTACAATAAATAGTGGCAGCTAAGGGGATCTATGGGGCCAGTTAACTTCAAGGCAAGTGGTTAGTTCAGAAAATTATAATGACTTTTTTTTTTATCCCAAAGGGATATAGATAATCTTGATAGATATCCTTGAAGGACATAGAGCAATCATGGGGACTTCTATGAAGTTGATTTAAGGGGACAAGAGGAAAGAATTAGGAGGCAAAGGACATTTATAGAGGTCTAAATATGGGCATGTACATATGAAAATATATTTATATACAATGATAGGGAAATAGATCCATGTACATATATGTTTATATGTTAAGCATTAAGGTAGCAGACAGACATCGGGCCTCTACTCAAGTACTCCCTCAATACAAGAACATTTCATTCTAATAATCTGACATTCTATGATGCTCACCTTCCCTGACACAATTGGTGAAGTCAAAATGGGTGCATTAGCAAATGTGGTGAAGAAAGTTGATGGTGCCCAGCTATCAAAAAAGATAGTATCTGGGGTCTAAAAGGCTTAAAGATAAACAAGCAACCATCTAGCTGAGAAGCAATCAAGCCCGCATGGAAGAAACACATCAGCCTGTGGGATCATGAGATGTCAATGGGTTCAGCCATAGGCATCAAAGACACAGAACAAAAAATCATATCAATGTAAGTGGGGGGTGAGGGTATAGTGGAGACCCAAAGTCCATCTGTTGACAATTTGACATCCCCTTACAGAAGAGTCACAAGGAAGAGAGGAGCCAGTCAGGGTGCAGTAGAGCACACACAAAACATACAACTTTCCTTTAGTTTTTTAATGCTCCCCACCTCCACTATCATGACCCCAATTCGACCTTACAAATTTGGCTAGACCAGAGCATGTACACTGGTACAGATAAGAGCTCAAACACAGGGACTCGAGGACAGATAAGCCCCTCAGGACCAATAATGAGAGTAGTGATACCAGGAGGGCAAGGGGTTGGGGTGGGGGAGAACAGGGGTACTGATCACAATGATCAACCTCCTCCCAGGGAATGAACAACAAAAAATAGGGTGAACAGAGACAGTGGTCAGGGTAAGACATGAAAAAAATGATAAATTATCAAGGGATGCAAGAGGGAGGGAGAGGATGAGCTGATGCCAAGGGCTCAAGTAGAAAGAAAATGTTTTGAGAATGATGATGGTAACATTTGTACAAATGTGCTTGACACAATGGATGGATGGATGGATTCTGAGAAGAGCTGTGAGAGCCCCCAATAAAATACTTTCTAAAGGAGAAAGAAATCTGAGAACTGCATTGATGATACAAGGCCAGGAAAGTCGCATCAGGAATTTTTTTTTTTCCATCTTGACAATGTCTCATTCTTCAAGGGTAGCAAATACTGCCCTGTGACAAATTCACTGGAAAGTCTTCCTCGGTCCACATTACACCTGAATGTTGCACCTAACATGCAAAAATCCTCAAGAAAGGGTTTGACACAGAGCGAGAAAGCTCACATTCAGAAGTGTACAGATCTACATGGAAGATAGGTCAAGAAATAATAATAGCTTCGCAATTTGATATTTTTGTTTAACAAAGATTTCTATGGTTATATAACTTTTTTTTATTACTTACCCTTATATCCATGAAGTAATTGCTAAAGACCTGGTGACTTCTAGCTCAATAACCACAAGAACAATTAGGTGAGTATTTAAGATGTGAGACTAAGACCCAGGTGGGATTTCTGAGAGTATATCAACATTTTTCTCTCCTACCCACAGGAAAGGGAAGCAGTGTTCCCTTTCAGCTGACAAAGGTGCATCAAGACGATTTGGGGACTTTGAGGCAGTTTTCTGAAGTTTGAATAGCAGGGTAACTATTAGAAAGAAGGGGAGGTTTACTAGTAGGGAGGAAAAATCTATAGATATTCAACAAGCAGGGAAATGCAAATTTCAAAAGTGTCACCACCTGTACCAGGGAGCTATAACCCACTGTTTCCATTTGGGGATTCTCTGAAAAACCTTTGGTAACACTGTTCAAGAGAGAAACAGTCCGTTTAGACCATCCACTGGGCACCAACTTAGATGAAGGCAGAAACCCAATGCCGTGAATTTGACTTTTACCGATGTGATCCAGAGAGGCACTGAAATCCAGCTGATTTTTCTGCCTGTAATTTTATGGAAACATATTCTCAGACCTTTTACCATGGCATTGCCGGGTGTATTTGAGCCACCAACCGTTCAGTTAATAGTTGTGTCATCCAGGGAACTTACTAGATGAGAGAAATAGCAAGCAAACCAAAGTGTGCTAGTCTCTTAATTTCTTTTCTATCCTCCACCTTCACCCCACCCCACCCCAAGACTGAAAAAATATAGGGAAACCGAGGCAAAATTGAGTGGAGAAGACACATTTCAAAATAAGAAGATGCTGAAGTTAAATATGCCAACAGCAGCAACGTGCTGTTGTTTTTAATGGGAAAAAAGGGAAACTGTTCCCCTGACTATGGGCAAAGAGACACCTGACTGGTGATGGCGCTCGTATATCAGTCAGGGACAGACCAACTTGAAGTCCTTTGTTCATCCTAGCGGATGCTTGGATTGTAGCCAGAGTGGTTTCATGCATAGTACACATTAAAAATAAAGGGAAAATGTTTCATTTGATTAAATTTAGAATTTTAATTACTAATATTCATTTGTTTAAATTAATTCCTCTTTAGTGTACATGTTATAACCTTTCTTTTTAAGCAGACATGGAATATTGACAAAAATGGAAATCATGTTAGACTACTGTGGTGAAATTGAATTCTCTATATGGCTCTTCCATCCATAGTTTTTGTAACTCTCACCAAATGACTGAGTGTGCAAATAAGAAATGTGGGATGCTAACATGCAGATAGGTTACATTTTCCATTCTGCTGGGTGTAAAATTAACCATCTCAGAAGCAGGGATGGTGGGAATCTCACGATCATGAAGAAAGAAGAGTAACAAATGAAGTCTGTCTTTTTTCACTTTTGTCTTTTGGAGCTGGAAGGCCCTGTGCAGTACAGGCAGCAATGGGTGCATCAGCATGGAGAGAGATCAACAAGCTTCCCAGTGGAAAGAACTAGTAAAATGTAGTGCCTCAGGCAGGCGGCTGGCTTGCCCTCTGGAATTCTGTAACATGTGCATGTCGAACCCCTGCCCATAGAGATCAGCTCTGGTGTGGTGTGGGGGTTGGGTTCCCATGACTTCTTGTCTTCCCAAGGGAGATCAGACATAACCTCCAAATCATCCTTATCCACACCAAAATGAAGCACATTGCATTAGATGAGATCAATATAATAAAGCCTCTAACCATTACACAACAAAATAGAAATTGCTAAGCAAATCACTGCTTTAAAAATATCGGATTTCTCATAATCATATGGCAGATATGTAAACCACACTATGCTTAAAAGAAAATCATCAGGACTCCAAGAAAATGTGCTGTCACACTGTACTCTTGACCAAAATGCAGGGTCTGAATCTAATCATGGACAAACACTCAGACCAAACCGTATGAAGGGACATCAATCAGACAACTGGTCTGAATATTTCAAAAAGCCAATGTTATAAATGACAACGGAACGCAGAGGAACGGTGCCAGACAAAAGGCATCTAACACGACACACACACGGAATGAAATGCCCAATTCTGAATCAGAGGCTCGACTGTGGGGAGAAGAAATCTATAAATGTCTCGAGTGAGACAAAAGCACAAAACAAGAGCATGTTATGACAACTTAATTCATGAGCTTTAAGACCTTGAGGAAATATGGAAATTCCTTCCCATATATAAAATGACAACATTGAATAGAAGCGAACAGAAATGCCAACTAGAAAAAGCAGTAAAGAGACTCAAATTATAGTTAAAAACACCTCCTCTGTCCAAATAGTTAGAAGATTTACAGATGAGCTCTGCCAGCCCTTCAAGAAATAAATATTTACACTGTGACAAGAATTGCTCCTCCAAATAGCAGAAATGCTTCCCATCCTAATTGTATGGAGATGTGATATTCAGCCAATTCTCATAAGCACAGCGGTTTCCATTGCTTGACCTTCTGACTGGGTAGGGTCTACTTGTGATTGTTCAATGTTAATTCCACTCAAAAAGTAAGTTTGATATGACAAGTAAAAACCATCATGATTTCAAAATCATGTGATCAAAAATTAAAAATATGAAACACATTGAATGGTTCTCTGGATACAAATATCTTAAAATTTACCTTTAAAAAATACAATGTGTTTTTTTTTAACTAAGGGAAAAAAAACGCATCCTACATCATTTGCTACTTTACAGTATCCATATTGCAGGTAATCTGAGTCTTGCTCCAATATTCTGATGCCATATTTCTCTTTATATAGACCACCTCCTCAAGTGCTGTGTTCAGCACACACATTGGAGAATGTGATGAAAGTATCCTACTCTAATGCACACCCCTGCTGTTGTTCAAACCAGGCTCTCAGCTCTGCCTTGGTTCACATCCTCCTGATCCATCCTCCCGTCTAAGGGGAATTCTGGCTGTAATTCTTCCAAGACAGATTTAGTTTTTCTTCTGGAATTCATTCTTACTTGCCATAGTTTCCCCTAGCACGATAATTCAAGTGTACTAATTCTTCTATAACCTTCCTTATTCATTGTCCAAAGTAACACATGCTGGTGAGGCATAGGTCAAGTGCAAAGTCATCCTCAAAAATTATATCTTTGCTGTTCAACAACACTTTAAAGAGGTTTGTGTATAAATTCAAGGTAAGCACAATTAATTGTTCTGAAATTTCCATTCTACATAATATTATCCATCATTGGCTAGGTTTCATACAGTCAAATGCCTCTGTATAATAAATAAAACACAAGTAGACAGCTTTCTGGTATTCCTCGCATCCTGCCAAGATTCATATCTGACATTAGCAATGATAGCCCTTGGTCCATGCTGTCTTTTAAATCTGGTGAAATTTCAGACAGCCTCTTGCCAATGTACTACTCCACCTGTTGTTAAGTTATCTGCAGCTTAATATTACTTGCAAGTGATAGTAACACTATAGTTCAAAAGCATCAAAGGAAGACCTTCTTAAAGTCTTATCCTCCATAAAAGCAACAATCGACTTTTCAGAGCTCTAGAAAGTAAGCAAAGGCAAAATGCAGGGAGCCATTTATTCAAGAAAAACAAAAGCTAATCACATAATTGTAATGCTGCATGACAAAGTAAGAGACCAAGAAAGATACGGTGCAAAACACCATCTATGAGAATTACAAACTAACACAAATCCATTTGAACTTAAAAAACAAGGGTTGAATGCATCCCACATTCAGCACATAAAGAACAAAACCATACACAAGCGTTTTTCTTCTGCCATTAATCTTTTTAATCCACAGTACTTGCCCCACAAACACATACAATTAAGCAGCCTTTCAAAGTTTTGACCCATGCCCATATATATATGTATGTATATAGATTTGTGAAACATCGATTATTTCATAAACAATGTAGAAGTTTAAGAAGAAGATAGGCTAATTTCTAAGCATGTGTGTAGAAGCAAAACCATCATGTTAAAGTAACAGCAGAGACAACAAGACAAAGGAGTGAGAAGATTTGGGATGGTAAGAGGGAACAAAAGAGAGAGACTGGCATTGAACTTAGCAGACAAATAACAGATCGAGTATGGCATGATACCACTGGGCATCCACACTCAGTGACAACATAAATAAGTCAGTCCACTGCAGGGAACAAGCTGAAAGGAGAGGAAGGAAAACAAGCCCAGTTATCAAGAGCAAAAGCCAGTGAGTGTGACTAACAGGGTCAGCATAATGTAAGGTTTAATAATTCACACATGCGTTATTATTTCGCCTTGGAAATTAGGAATTTGTCATTCACGTCATGGCAGGACTACACCAACACACAAATTCTTAAAAGAAGACTGGAGCGACCAAGAGATGTTGAACCAACAGCTTGCAAAAATGGACCATAACACAGAAAGAAATCTGCTGGAGGATATACAATCCCAAGAATTTTGCGTGCACACACAATGAACAGCAGATGGCACAGAGTCCAAAGAACATCGGTAAATAAAATAGCCAATGGTTTCAATCAGTTGGAAAACTGGAATGCTAATTCCAAATCCTATGTTAACCAGTTTCCACACAGGAATTTTGTTTTCTTTTTTTAAGTGAAAACATATTTGCATTTTGATGGCACATTTCTTGCAAGGCTTTCAAAGCATTTCCACGGGCAGGTTGTGATGCTCTACGCATCCTGCAGGACAGAGCTTTGCGAGTTGGTATCTGCTGCTGTTTGGGGCATAAATACATAGCTTAGATTTCAGACGCTTTCCCATTGCTAAGGTGGAAGGGGGATGGGAAGGCAGCCTAATAATCAGACCACCCTTTAGAATAATGTATCGATATGCAAGTGAATAGACTACAATAAGCAAGAAAACAACTATATTCAATGCCATAGAATCAATTCCAGCTCATAGGCTAGAGTAGAACAAGTGTACCTTGTAGAATAGAATAGAACTACCCACTTCATTTTCGGAAGCTACACGTCTCTACAGGAGTAGAAAGCCTCATCTTCCTCCCGCAGGCAAGTTGGTGGTTTCAAACTGCTGACCTTACAATGAGCAGCTCCACTCCTAAGCCACCCTGCTACCAGAGCTGCTTGCAGATGAATACAACATACGCATAAATCACCAGCTACAATGGGGGGAAAAAACAGAAAGAAAGAAAGAACCATCTGCCGTAGTTACTTGTTATTGCTGCTGCTGCTGCAAGGTACCATGAGTTGATTCCACCCCATAGCGACCTGATGCACAACAGAACCAAGCGCTGCTCAGCCCCATGCCATCCTCACACCGGTTCCTATGCTGAGGTCATTGTTGCAGCCACTGTGCCAATCCATATCCTGGAGGGCTCTCCTCTCTTTAGCTGCTTCCTAATTGACCAAGCATGATGTCCTGCTCCAGGGACTGGCTCCTCCTGACAATAGGTCTAAAGTATGTAAGATGAAGTCACGCCATCTTTACCTCTTAGGCGCATTCTGGCTGTACTTCTACAAAAATAGAGTTGTTTGTCCTTTTAGTAATCCGTGGTACTTTCACTGTTCTTCTCCGGAACCACAATGCAAATGTCTTGATTCTTCATTGATCTTACTGAGTCAACATCCAGCTTTCACTTGCTTATGAGGCAACTGAAACTCCCATGGCTTGGGTGAGGTGCCCTGTATCACTCAAAGGAACACCCTTGCTCAAAAGAGGTCTTATGCAGCACATTTACCTAATGCAATGTGTCTTTTGATCTCTTGAGTGCGGCTGACATAAGCATTAATTATGGATCTAAACAAGACGAAATCTTTGACAACTTCAACCATATTTAGCCAGTGCTGTTATAATAGAAATACTAGAAGTGGAAGATTTTAACAAATGGCCATTTTTTCCTCCTACAGTTAAGAAAACTAGAAGTCCAAATGTAGGGCAGCAGCTCTCGGAGAAATCTTCCTCTGTTGGCTCTGGGGAAAGTCCCCGTCTCGTTTGACTCTCAGTGGGCCCAACGTTGCTTGCAGATCTCCACATATTCGGGGCATCAATCTTCCCTTGGCCCAAGGAGGATCTCAGTGCAGGAA